TCCCCCACTTGCATTGTTTGCCCTCTCTCTTTCCACTTACCATGGGTACAAGTTGATCAGAGGCTGAGAAAGAGATAAGAAAAAAAAATAGAACTAGGGTCCACTGTGAACAAAGGGAAGCTTTTCAATTCTTCCCTGGACTTTTTCTGGCTCCTCTTGAGACCACTGTGGCCTGAATGGAAGACAGACAGCATAGAAAACCAGCAATGTACAGCAACTTGTATTTTTCTGCATAGCATTTAAGAAGCCTCTTGAAGAATATCAGCAGCTTATTTCTTTACATCAAATTCACTAACTCCTGTCACCAGCAACATAGAAAATCGCATCACCAGAAAATTTCACGGTTGCTTGGCAAGAAGACTGGATTATAAGCTCCTTGAGGGCAAGGGCCATGCTCTTCCTCATGTTTGTTAACATGAAGACTAGAATGGTGCCCAATAAGTGTTGAAATATGACAAAAAAGTATTTGGGAGTATTTCAGAGGGTCAAAGGTGCAGTGTTGAACAAGTTTTTGGGCACAGTGGAATGAGCTTCCTTGTATTACCGGCCAACAGAGCTTGGAGGAATCACTAGTCAGCAAGAGATGGGTTGTGGTACACACTGAAGAGTACGTAGCTTCCAAATAAATGCACCAGAAAGGGGAATAAGAGGGCCCGAAAGAACACCTGTGGGGGTTTGGGCAAACATATGTAATTATGACTTTGTATTTGAAAAGTTAATAAAAATGTGTATTAATGATTGTTTAGGGTGGGAGGCACAGATATTGAAGCAGTGTACATCAAGTGTACATCTAAATCTGAGCACACATCCAAAACTGGCTGCAAAGTGTGCCATGTTCATGGGTATAGAGTTTTAGAGTATGAGAAGCACTGGACTAAATCATTGGGTTCCTTGTTCAAACCACTTTTTAGTTAAAAAAAAAAAAATAGGGCCACCATTTGAACATGAGTGATCATGGCCTTGTCTCCAGAGTCTGTGATCATCCCTAACCTACTTACTTTCACCCCTAAATATTTATCTTTATGAAAACTTAGGGGATAATTCTCACCATGTTTTCTTCACATCTTCTTAGGATCTGCTTAGGATTCATTTGACAATTAAAAAAAACACATTTAAAATGCATTAGCCTCCAAGCTTCTATAGCCCCAGTGCTTATTAGAGCAATATTTGACTGGAAAGCAGACAACAAATATACTATTATGTGATCACCTGAAGAAAAGGAGTCTGCATACAGATAGCAGAGAAAAATGCACATGTAGGTACGCTGGGGGAGGAGGGATGGTTAGCAGTGCAATTTCCAAGAGAAGGGAGATCCTTGTTCATAGAATATGGGGTTTAGTCATTCTCTCCAGCAATTCAGGCAAGTAAAGGCAAAGTAAAATCACAAAAGGCCTATGTACGTATATCGTGTGCATGTTTGTGTATGTTTCCTAAGCACTGGTAATATATCCACCCAAAGCATAATTTTCCTAAGCCTTAATGCTTTCCAAAGTAGAAAACAATTATGAGACTTATTTGTCTACTTGAATATCAAGCAATTTCATTGAGATGCCACTGATGGGTCTTAGGGCTCCCTGGTGAAACCATGTGAAAAGATCATGTAAGAACCAATTAACCCAGCCTGGGTAACCCAATGGCTATGACATGGACTTTTCTAATTCGATTTTCAAATTATTTTCAAGAAACAGTGACCACAGATAAGCATTGTACAATTTTTTAGCAGTGAGTGATCAAAGATATATTTCCATTTCACTTGAAAACACTTCCATGAGACTATTCTCTATAGAGTCTTCATAGTTGAAGGATTTTGCAATTCCTTACTTTCCTTAAACTTCAAAATCTGATATAAAAGAGAACACTGAAGAGAAAATCATTCCTCAAGTAAGAGATTGTAAAGTAACATTGTGCTTCTGAATTTCTTTAATAAATCTCACTGCAATCCCCAAAATGTCTCTCTTACAATGCATCCCACAGTTGGGTGAATACACCACATTGGTATGCTTCCCCACATGGTTGGTAAAATTCCAAGATTTGAAATTTGACATCCAGCATCCAAATTATTTATAATAAATTAATCCATTTATTAACCTCATGACCCTGGATAATCACCCCAACAACTCTCTGCCTCAGTTCCCTTGCCTGGGTAACAGAAATCCTGATAGCAATACTGTCTACGTCATAAGATTATTGCCTTGAGGATTAAAGGAGTTAATCCATCTCTAGCACATAGAAAGCACTCTATAAATGTAAATAAGGTTAACATTATATAAAGAAAATAAACCATACTATAAATCATTTTAAGACAGGTTTTAAAATTTAAATTGTTGTCAGCAAATCCCTACCCCAACTCCACACAATAAGGCACTGAGACAAGCTTCCAAAATGTCTTTTAAGTAAAAGATTGTTCAATAAGGTGTGGTGTTACAATATATAGATTGGTTTTCATTCATGGTCCCTGGCTTCTAACTCCCATAATGTTGGGGCACTTTAGGCCTCTGGGTCAGGTAGTCCTCAAGAAACATAATTTCTTTCTGACCTTCTCCTGTCCTTTTCCCAAGGCAGGACTCTAATCTGTGAGTCAAAAGATCTTCAAAACAGAGAGGGTCCTCCCCCATACTGTGGAAGAAGAAATACTGCACAGAGAGGCCAGAAGAACCTGAAAAGACAGATCTTGCTGAGTTTCCCCACTCAGTCTATTAGTTTGAGATTATCCTCTTTTTTGTCCAATTCCATTTCTACACAATTGTTAGTCATGTCTGTGTGATACAGCCTCCATAAAATCCCAGAAGGAAAGAGTTCAGAGAGCTTCCAGAGAGCTGAACACAAGGAGGCTCCTAGAGGTTAGTGCACCTGGGGTGGGCATGGAAGCTCTAAGACCCTGTCCTCCCACACCTCACCCTACTCTTCTCTTCATCTGTATCCTCCGTAATATCCTTTATAATAAACCAGTAAACGTGTTTCCCTGAGTTCTGTGAGCAACTCTAGCAAATTAAATGAACCCAAATTGGTGGGTTGGTGGGAATCCCAAGTTGAAAATGGTAAGTCTGGAGGCCTGGACTTGCAATTAGTGTCTGGGGGTGGGCAGTGTTGGGAACTAAGCCCTCAACCAGCAGGATCTGACACTATCTCCAAGTAGATAGTGTCAGATTGAACCAGCAGTGGTCCCAACCATTTTGGCATCAGGGATCAATTTCATGGAAGACCATTTTTCCATGGATGGGGGTGGGTGATCAGGTCTTAGAGTCTCATAAGAAGTGCCCAGCCTAGATCTTTTGCATGTGCAGCTCACAATAGGGTACGCATTCCTATGAAAATATAATGCCACCACTGATCTGACAGAAAGCACAGCGCCGCTTGTTCACCACTCATGTCCTGCTGTGTGATCTAGTCCCTAATAGGCCATGGACCAGTACCAGTCTGTGGTCTGGGGATTGGGGACCCCTGAAGTAGAGGGTGCCCAGCTTGTGTCTGCTGCTTTGTGTGTGGGGGAGACCCCCACATTCAGTCATAGAAGTCTTATTCTCTGTTGATGACTGTTGTGTAACAGCAGATGGAAAATAGTTTGAGAGAGTTAAGACACTGGTTAACATATACCAATCCAAATTCCATTTATAAAAAATGATTTCCTGATGTTGATTAAAACTGTTCTGAAATACTATCTTTTCTAAACACTAAACTCTCAGAGCCTATAGCTGAGAAGTTAAACAGATTAGAAGCTACCATCATTACATAGCTTGCACACTAACAAAATGCCACTTAATGAACTCCTAATAATGTTTTTTGTCCACAGATTAATAACAGCTTAATTCAAAGCCACACCATTTCCTGTTTTTGCTTCATTTCCTTCAAAGCAAAACATAATTTTTTCTTGGACCTGGAGTAAAAACTTCTGGATTGACCAAATAAATTGTTACCAGAAAAGCAATTTTATAAAAATTCTATTTCAGAGTAGTTAAAACACACAGAACATCTGTGTGGTGTTTGTTAATACATAAAAATAACCTAATATATATATAGTGTATGTGCCACCTAAGTGGAAAATGGAGTTTATAACTAGAAGCACAAACAGTAATCATCACTGATGACATCAGTATTTAAGTTTAGTTGGGAACATTTTAAGAACTGTGACACCACAGTTTCCTTTAGTCTTGACCAGAGGTCACAAACTGCTTGCTTGGTACAGATGTTTTGTCTGGCCAACACAGTATTTGAAAAATTAATGAGCTTCAATATCTTTAGGTGGGCTGTGACCTTTATTTACCTGTGCAGACCTTGGTCTAAGCCCATCCTTACAGAAAAGAGATTCAAAAACAGTTATTAGTTAAGTGGGTATCTCCATCACTGATGGTCTGATAAAGTCCAAAGGTTTAGAAATTAAGAACACTAACAGTTACATTCAGAAATTATTCTAATTTGTTTGTTGGGTTCACTTTAATATATCATTTCAGTATGTATCTAACAGTGGCTCACTCGATTAGGATGAGCTGAGTTGTTAAAACTCACCGCTGGATACCAAAAGAAACCAGAAAATAGAGAAATTTTTAAAAACATGTTCTTATGAGGCCAGGCGCCATGGCTCAAGCCTGTAATCCCACCACTTTAGGAAGCCAAGGTGAGGGAATTGCCTGAGCCCCTGGGTTTGAGAACAGCCTGGGCAACTTGGCAGGACCTCATCTCTACAATAAATCTCCCCCAAAAAAATTAGCGGGACATGGTAGCACACACCTGTAGTTCCCATTACTTGAAAGGCTGAGGCAGAAGGATCACCTGAGTTCAGCAGGCAACAATGGGGTGGCTGTGAGCGTGCCACTGCACTCCAGCCTGGGTGACAGAATGAGACTCCAACTCAAAAACATATATATATTCTTATGGTATGAAAACTTGGACTAAAATCCAAATTTAACATGACTTTCAAAAAATTGATAACATTCTGTCAATGGTTTAGTTTTCTTCATATAAAAGGAAATAAATTTACTCTGCAATATTTTAAAAGCAACTAGTTTCTACTAATGTATTTAATGAATATTTACATAGATATACATAGAGACACACGCATATATACACATACTTAGAGCAGGGACTGGGTCAGTTGTTCTGATTCTTCTCAGTTCCATCATACTTCCGGGGAGATCTATTCCACTTACAAATTAAGCCTGAGTCTAGAGCCAAATAAGAGAACACTGGAGTGGGTCTCCTAAAGCATTAGTTCATGTATCACTCCAAAGCTGTTAGGCTTTAAGCATTGGTGAGGCATATGATAGCTGGCTTTAGAGTTCAAAGGTTATTAGTGAAATGTTCTTTTAAATTAACACAAAGGAATGCTTCCACTCAGATGGCCCCAGCAAGCACACCCTTGCCTTCAGCTTCTTCTTCAGAACATAAATACAAGGCACCCTGCAGTGAATTTGCTGCTGGGGGTGGTGCCCCTGAACTCTCCTGGATTAGTCTTTCTGGGGGTTCTGGAGAATTCTCCCTCCATCTTGGACTTGAATGCTGTTGGGCGACTTCCCATACTGAAGGACACGGAGAAGGGAAACCCAGAGCAGACCGTGAGAGGGCATCCTCTTGAAGACCTACTTCTTGGATACACCTGTTGGAAAGCACTTCCTTTTCTTTGGAATTCCGCCATTTCATCCTTCTGTTCTGAAACCAAATTTTCACCTATTGACAAAAAAATTAGACAAAGTGATCACTTATTTGAGGTTATTTTACTTCAACATTTTAAACTTCAATTGCTTCTACTAGAATACCCTACTATGAGAGCCAGCCTGGCAAGGTCCTTGTGGCTTTTCATGTGGACTCTCAAAAGTACCTAAAAAAATGACTTCAATATAATATCCCCACATACACTTCTCTTTTCTTACCATTTCTTTGAGATTCAAGGTGTACATGTGCAGGTTTGTGACACAGATACTGTATACTGTGTGATGGTGAAATTTGGGCTTTTATTGAGCCCATCAAACCAGGTGGTGGACACAGTACCCCCCACCAGTAGTTTTTCTACCCTTACCTCCCGCCCCCAGGAGTCCCCAGTGTCTGTTGTTCTCATCATTGTGCCCGCCCACACACACTTCTGAAACAAAATGACTGTGGTAAATTGGTTACATCCTGTGAGTCTGATAGCTTTCAACATTGATTGAACTCAGATATTTTAAAACATCATTTAGTCTGTGCTAAATTATGTATTCAAAGGAAATGTATCAGCTAGTAATAGCATCTGAATGTTTATTTTGTGCCAGGCATCAGGCCATGCACTCTAGGTGGATTTTATAATTTGATCCTCACAATGGCTATAAAAGTCCTCATTTCACATGTAGAAGAGCTGAAGTTTGCAGCGATTAACTGGCTCAAGGTCATACAGCTTGTAAAATGGAAGCACTTAAACTAGAATCCAACATCTGACTCCGGTGCCCAGGCTCTTAAAAACATTCAGACCTCATCAGGAGCTTTTTGAGACTAAATTAAGAGCTTACTTTATAATGCTTTGATAAATTGCAGGCTTTATACAGTTTCCAAGTCTTAATTACTCCCAGGATTTATCAAACTCTAACAATTAGGCTCAATAAATAACAATTAATTATAATTAAGCCAAAAGTACTTATGATGGTGGTTCCTAATTTGAACCATACCTTCCCCCACCCATCCCACTTGAGTCCATTTTTATTAACCTCACTCTTCATCCACTATCTAGACAAGTATGCCTGAGCCAAAAAACTTCATAACTGGTTTCCTGATACCTTAAAAGCCAACCACATGCTTTTTCTGTGTATTACATTGCATCCTTACACTAACAATTTAGGCAATTTCTATTTTTAAAATAAAAACTGGAACATTTTTACCTGAAGAAGTAATTATTAAAGTAGTTCCACCAAATATTTCTCTCAATGAAGGAAAAGATTCTATCTGAGATTATCTTTCCAGATTGGCAAAACAGTCCCTTAACATTCTTTCCACTTGATTGGCAAAGTTCAAAATGGCTACAAAAGAAACCTACCCCAGGCAATTGAGTGCAAAAGACTGCCATCTCAGTTTCAACCCCATGATTAGAGCATTTGGTTCTATTCATGAAGTCATTTATTATTTGCAATGGGTATTTACTCCTAGAAGGCATGCCAAGTATTCCTAATGGGTTTTCACTGAGACAGATATTTGTTCCCATTAGTGATTCTTGCCTTTCTCATCACATTCAGTGTTTGCTTCTTCCCTTAGCTTTTCTGTATGTTTAGAAATATTTGTTAAGTGATACCTCAATGATTAAAAAAAAAAACCAAACATGAAAGGGGTTTTCTCACAATCAATGGTGTTAGGACAAATACATAGATTTGGGGGAAACATAAAAGTTCTACCTCTCAACAAATGCAAAAACAAATTCCAGACAGGTTAAATAACTAAACATAAAAACAAAACTATAAAAGTTCAAGAAGAAAATATAAGAGATTATCATTATACTCTTGGGGAGAAGGATGTTTTCTTAAGTATGACATAAAACAAAGGCTCCAGAAGAAAAAGTAGACAAGAGCTGAATATAGAAAAATGAGAAATTTCTGTACAAATAAGCATGCCAATAATACATGAAAAAGCCACAAACTACCCCAATAAACATACCATAAATATATGAGAAAGTTACAAACTACACCAAAGAAGGAAAGCAGGGATTCAAAGAGCTAATTGCACACCCAAATTCTCAGCAGCATTATTCATAACAGTCAAAAAGTGGAACCAACAAGTGTCTGTGGACAAATGAATGAATAAACAAAATGTGGTATGTATGTACAATGGAATATTATTCAGTCTTAAAAAGGAAGGAAATTCTGACACACGCTACAGCAGGAATGAACCTTGAAGACATTATGCTACATGAAATAATCCAGTCACAAGAGGCATAAATGCTGTATGATTCCACTCATGAGATCCTTAGAATCTCATGATAAGGATCTCAGACATAATAGAAACAGAAAGTAGAATAGTGACTGCTAGGGGACAGCGGAGCAGGAAGTGAGGAGTTTTTTTTTTAATGGATATAGAATTTCAGTTTTGCAAGATGAAAAAAGTTGTGGAGATGGATGGTAGTGATGGTTGCATAACAATGTGAATGTACTTAACATCATTGAACTGAATACCTAAAAAAAGTTAAAAGGGTAAGTTTTATATTATATATATTTTTCCACCATAAAAAAATTCACAAACTTAGAGAGGACTTTTGCAACATCTGTAACAGGAACATTTTACTAACCATAATATTCTAATAAAATTTTTATTAATAAAGTAATTGATACATATCAATAGAAAGACAATATGAAGGAAAAAATGATACAGCCATGAAAAGGCCAATTCACAGACTATGAATGGTTAGGAAGCCAATCTGATGGTCTGGTTATGAAAGCACAAAAAAAGAATGAAATGGACCTGTATGTACTGACATGGAAGGATACATCCCACAACATACGAAAAGAGAAGGAAAAAAATCAAAACAATACACATTGTCAGCAGCATATTCATAATACCCCAAAACTGGGAAAAATATACATGCCCACCATCAATAAATGGACAAATTGTGGTATCCCATCAAATGGTAACACTACAAAGCAATCAATACAAATGAGCTATTACTACATGCGACAACATGAAGAATCTCACAAACGTAATGTTAAGAAAAAGAAGCCGCAAAGAAAAGAATATGAATAATTCTATTTCTATGAATGACCCTGAATGACTCTATTTATATAAAGTACAAAAACAGGCAAAGCTAGTGTATGTCAGGATAATAGATACCCTTGGAAGAAGCAGGAAGTGATTGGGAGCGGATGTTTGTGGGCTTTTGGCATCTACCACTTGATCTGTGTGCTGGTTATACAGGTAATTTGTACTGTTCTTTAGAAAGAGCACAAGTCTCTGCACAGTATAATTTCATTTTTATTTAAAAATATAGATACACAATTCTAGTCTCCAGCTTCTTCATTTGTAAAATAGAGGTAACAGCAGTAACTACTTCAAACGATCTGTGTAAGAATTAAATGTTTTCAAATATAAGGGCACATGTTCAGCATGCAAGTATTTGTGTAATTATATGTATATGCACATACAGCACACCTAAAAATTTATATTTTAAATAATATTTGACATGTCAATAAATTCAAGAGTCAGTTGTAAACAACAATGGTAACCAGGTAGTTGAAGTGGAGGAGAGTAAAATGAGTTTTCATTTTTGACTTTACTGATTTTTTTTGTTTGAATTTACCATAATAAATACCACATATTAATCGTGTAATTGATACACAAACAAATAAGAAAATGCTAAATTACTTCTGAGATGCTCAACCAAATTCAGTAAGACAAAAAAGCATTCATTCCTAAGGCATCTGAATTTTAAAAACAATATAATTAACTATGTAAAACCATATGCCTATGGATAAAAATCAGAAGATAGCATACAAAAAGGAAAATAGTTTGTTTTCTTGGGGCAGAGAGATTATATACCTTATACATTTTTCTTTAATATGGCTGTTGCATTCTCTTTTCAAAAGTCTCCCTTGGCTAGGCACAGTGGCTCACGCCTGTAATTCCAGCACATTGGAAGGTGAAGGATGACAGATTGCTTGAGCCCAGGAGTTCCAGACCATGATACGTTACTACTAGAGATTTTCAGTTTTTCAGGGCACTGTCAGATGGGCCCTAGTTGCTTTCTTTTTTTTTTTCTTTTTTTGAGTTGGAGTCTCACTCTGTCATCCAGGCTGGAGGGCAGTGGCACATTCACCACCACCCCAGTATTGACCTGCTGGGCTCCAGCAATCCTTCTGCCTCCACCTTCCAAAGAGCCAGAACTATAGGTGCATGCTACCTCGCCTTGACTTATTGTAGAGATGAGGTCTCACCAAGTTGCCCGGCCTGGTCTCAAACCCACAGGGTCAGGCAATCTGCTCACCTCAGCCTCCTAAAGTGCTGGGATTACAGGCTGAGCCACCAAGTATAGCCAGCCCTAGCCTCTGTCTTTTAATGCCTAAGTTCTGGCTCAACCAGAGGCTCCCCAACATACCTGTTTTCTTCTCTTTGAGTTTGGGGGCTTCTTAGCCATACCACTGAAATGTAGGCCAGGCTTACTGAGTCTTCATAAGGTCTTATTCAGGCTTAATAGCTCCTGTGATTATATCCTGGGGTATATGGACCAGTCATAGGGCTGTCATTTCCAGACATGGGGATTAACATAAGGCTCCAGGAAGAGACATAACTTAAAGAACTGCTGGTCCCTTACTGGGCAGTACATCTAACCTGCCAGTGATGTTCTCCATACTATTGCATAGTCTTAAGCTGTTACCTAACTTTTTACGGGGTGTGGAAGCTCTTGAGGTGCAAAGACTAGGACTTCATCAGTACTTATTGATATTCCCTCTTACTGCCTATCTGGCACAATGTCTGGCACACAACAGACCGTCTAGATCCAGCTACTAATTTATCAGTTACATATGCAAAATTGGTTTGTGACATAAACAGAATTCCTATATTAGTTTCTGGTTTTTCTAAAGTGAGAAACTGAGGCACAGAGCCAATCAATTAAGGTTATGAACTCATCATCAGCACACAGCAAGAGCACAGACAGAATGATCTAGGCCGATGACCTTCTCCTTCACTACATACTGCTTCCTGCTACTCAAAAAAGTTAGAGGGCCAGGTTGGGAAGACAGATCACTTCTCTAGGGAAAGAAAGTAAGGTCAAGGAGAGTTTTGTCCAAGAACAACAAGTTTTAGTAAGGTCCAGTATTAAAAATCAGATCATTTGTCATGAGGAAGAACAGTAGAGAATAGTGGTTAAGACAGAGCTTCTGCAAGCTCTTTAGTTAATTCAAAAAACACAGGAGGATATAGACCTGCACCAGGAAACTCTGCTTGGTAAGCAGAGTCCCTGTTGCATTTCCACTTCCACCATCCCTTCTGGCCAAAGGCCTTTGTACAGTAAACACCCTATACAACTGTACATAGTGGTTCTAGGTTAAAGAGAACACAAACTCCAGAGTCAGGCTGCCTGGGGTGGGAGCCTAGTTCCAAAACATCTTTGCCACGTGACATAGGACAGATGTTCAATACTCGACATCTTTTCTTCTAGAAAATAGGGATGAATAACAAGGGTACCTGCATATTGAGCATGTGTATACCTAACCCTGACTTGTAGCCCACATCTTTAAAAACAAAATAAAATAAAAATGTGAGAAAATAGGGATGATTATAGTGCTTATTTCATATGGTGATTATAAGGAGGATTAAATAGGAAAATGTTACTGCATTATGATGTTAAATATTTATAATAAGCAGGCCAATCTCTAAATGAAGTATTCTGCAGCTCCAAAGGACCAGAAACTTTCTTTCACAATTATATGAAACCAATGTACAGGAAAGGTGTGCAAAGGTTGCAAATGTGAAATCACTTCAATGAACTTGACATAAACCTAAAGCACAAAATAATGAAGCCTGTTAAAGTGGTATTCACTCATTCATGCTTTGATTTTTGGATTGGAAATAAAGAGAAATATAGGGAAATTCATTTCTGCTTTTGTAAGTAATTATTTAACCTTTGCTTTGCTTAATACAGAACAAACCATTTATAATGTAAACGCCATATCCCTAGCATTTCTCTTCATTTGGGAAGAATCCATCAGCCCAATAACAAAAACCTAGGCCCCTATTTTCAAATAGGAATTGTGACATTTGTTTCAACTTCTAAAAGGTTATGTGAAGAATTTCAAGAACATCTCAGGATCCAGCACCATGACTAGTACAAGAAATATGTACCAGTAAATGAATTTCATTGTCTTCCTGTAGAAATCAGGAGCACTAAGGTGTCTTCCTGCTCATTAATACCTGTGATTCCTTTAGTCCCAAGTTGATGGCAAGTTTCTTTCGGTCTGTTTTGCTGATATATTTCTGCTTCTGAAACATCTTCTCCAGAGCTTTCCTCTGGTCCTCAGAAAAGACAGCTCTTCTCAAAATGCCCCTCCGAGCTTTGGAATTAGAGTCCTGTGTCAGGAGAGGCAGCACACCCTCTTCTCCTAAAGGTGGGAGGGAAATACCAAAGGCCAGTTAGCTCTAGAGAGAAGACAGTCTTTCTCAGGACAATATAGTATTTTCCTACTCTGCACCATGGCCAAATTATCTCGTCTCAACTTCACACACTTAGAGCAGCACTTCTTAACCCCTTTTTGGTTATGAACTCCTTTGAGAATCTGATAAATGTTCTCTGTTCCCCATTGGAGTGGAAAGGGTAATATATATGTTTACCCTCCCGATTTGTCATGCCATGTCAGAAAATCCATGGTCCCAGGATGCAAAATCCTAATGCAGAACAAGTAAGTAGTTGGTTTAAACACTTCATTTTTCTCTACTTCTTCATGTGTATATAGCTTTTATTAGTTTTTTTCAACAAATTTTTTAAACACTTACCATATGCCAGACACTTTGCTCAATATTACATATGGAGAAGTAAAACAGATATGTGTAATTGTCCTCATTGCCTAGAAAATGTAGTGGAAGGGCATTTATTGAATTAGCATCACAAGCATGATGACATATTCCCAAGGAAGGTGATTTAGGGACACAAAACAAGGGGTCTGATCTTAATCTGAGACGTCAGGGAAAGCTTGCAAGAGTCAGAGATGTTTAATCTGAGAACTGAAGGGAGAGGTGGAGGGCTCTCAATCACTCCCCTCCAATTCTATTGATCATCAACTCTTTGAGGTCAAAGACATTTTACTACTTTTTCTGCCTTTGCACAACTTGGATAATACTGGTTCTCACTCTCTGAAAGACTACATGCATTCATCATTTATTCATTCATTCGTTCATTCACTTTACTTCCCAGGTAGGGCAGACAGAATAATAGCCCACCCAAAGATGTCCATGTCTTAATCTCCAGACCCTGTGAATCTGTTATATTTTACAGCAAAAAAGTAACTTAGGGGTTGCAAATGGAATTAAGGTTGCTAGTCAACTGACCTTGAGACGAGGAGAGTAGCCTGGATTATCCAGGTGGGCCCAAGGTAATCACAAGGGTTCTTATAAGTGGAATAGGGAGGCAAATTAGGAAGGCATAGTCAGAGAGAGATTTGAAGATGCTACACTTCTTGCTTTGAAGGTGGAGGAATGGGCCAGGAACCAAGGAATGCAGGTAGCCTCAAGAAGCTGGAAAAAATAAGGAAACAGATTCTCCCCAAAGCCTCCAGAAAGAACACAGCCCTGTGAACACCTTGAGGTTAGCTCAGTAAGCCCATTTCATGTTTCTGACCTCTCTAGCTGTAAGATAATGAGTATGTGTTGTTTTAAAACACCAAGTTTGTGGAAATTTGTTACAGCAGCAATAGAAAATTAATACACTAGGTATCAGGCTCACTGGGCTAGTTACTAAGGAAACCAGACAGGGAGGGCTAACACATGAATATTCACGATATAATGTAAACACCAGGATAGCAGGAACTCCAGTTTATGGTTGTAGCTAGTACATTTTCTGGTGCTTAATGATTATTTGTGAATAAACAAGTAAATGAATGTCTAACATTACAATAGAAAAATATGCAAAGTGCACTGCCATTACACAGGAGGAAATGATAAGTTCTGAGAAAATAGGTCAAGCCAAGATTAAAAGAATTATACTGCTGCCAGGCTCGGTGGCTCAGCCTGTAATCCCGCGCCTTTGGGAGGCTGAGATGAGTGGATTGCCTGAGCCCGCAGGTTCGAGACCCGCCTGGGCAGCGAGACCTCATCTCTACAATAAATCAAAAAATCAGTCGGGCGTGGTAGCGCATGCCTGTAATTCCGGCTACTCGGAAGGCTGAGGCGGAAGGATCACCGGAGCCCAGCAGGCGAGGCTGCGGTGGCCGGGAGCGGCCACTGCACTCCAGTCTGGGCGACCAAGTGAGACTCCAACTCAAAAAAAAAAAAAAAAAAAGAATTATACCGCTAAAGAGAGAAAGAACCAAAGTCAATCCAAGCAGAGTGACCAGCATATCTGAAAGTTCTAAAGCACAAAGGAATGAAGTTCATCCAAGGAAAAGCTAGCAGTCTTCAAGGGTGGACAAAGGCATAAAAGAGAGGTTGCAATCTGGCAGCCATTTCTTATACCTGCATATGGGTTTTGTTCAGTCTTAGCATGTGGATTAAGACTTCTGATTTAGTTGCCCAGATTCAATAGTTGGAAGTTTCACACAAAGTTCAGGTTCTGAACCTCTTTAGAAGTATCCACCCTATTGGGTTCACCTTCTTACAAAGCAAAGAGGTACCAAAATGAGTACCTGCCAGGTTCTTGAAGACATTGGGACCTCTGGCATAAAGATTATGGAGTGGAATGGAGTAAGAGGTTAGTAAATTGCAAGCATTTGGGATTTTATCCTGCAGGTAGCAAAGATCAGTAGAAGTTATTTAAGCAGGACAGGACATGATGATAATAAACATACACTGAACAGTAACTGAACTGTTATACTTACTTTGTGTTAAACCACTGCCATACATTATTTCATTTAATCTTCACAACAAATTTGTGCCATGAATGCCACTATTATTCTCTCATTTTACAGAAATAAAAGGAAGCTTAGGAAGGTTAAGTAACTTTGACCAAGATCACATAGCTAGGTATCAAACCCAAGGAAAACTGATACCAAAGCAAATGCCCTCAGTTCTTCACAATACTGACGTGATCTGATTTGTATTTTAGAGGAAAATGACAATAAATCTTGACAGTTCTACTTGTATAATATAATAGCTTCCTTTCCTATTTGTCTAATAGATTACAAACAACTCCTGGCTAGTCTCTCAGTCCCATGTCACACCTCATTCCTGTTCATCCTCACACTGCAAAAAGAACCACTGATCTCTCTCTCTTTCCTTCCAGCTCTGTGACTCCACATCTCCTTAGTAATACCATAGCCCTGAGATGTCATCAAGCCCAGTTTCTTACATAGGTCTACTTTCACTAATGCCCTTTTCACTCCCCCTCACATGGAATCTTGGTTATTTCCCCTTCTATAGCACTAATTATTTTTGCCTATCTCATGCCAAGATATCTTGAAGTCATATTTTGACAACTGGATTCACAATGGTTTCTCAGAGCTTTAAGTAGTTTTATGAAACGTTGGTCAAAATTTTTTTTAAAATTCTGAATATCTCAATATGTTCATCTTTTTCTAAATACTTTCTTCTCTGATTATTCCTCCATGTGGAGATCTTAGAATTGGCCCTTCTGTGTTATTTCAGAGTGCAGATTCACCTGCTGGAATCACATCTCTCTAAGAAGCCTCAGGACAAAAGACTTTGAAGTATCGAAGAACTAGGTTTGGAGCTTAGCACTTACATGTGTGACTTGGAGCAGGTTACTCAGTCTCTTTCAGTTGATCTTATAAGGCTGCTCCCAGGATTTGATGAAAATTTAAGAAAGTGTCAGTGCCTAGCCAAGTTATGGATCCCATAAATCTATTTCCACTTATGGAATTTCATTTGATCCTTATGAGAATCAGATGCCACAGATATCCCTTACTACTGATGAAGATGTGTTTAAAGCAGTCAAAGTCCAAAGACACACAAGGGACACAGAACTCAGCTGGCATCAAAACCTTTAGGATTCACATTCTTGGCTCTTTCCTCTGCATTCTGGCATTCTTAATTTGTAAATGTATCTAATCTACCATTATTATAGATATAAGTATTAAAAATTAGAAGAAAGAAGACAAATACCCAAAGGTAAAGAAATGCATAAGTAAATTATCCACCTGGTAAGCTTTTAATGAATTATTAAAGTTAAGGACTATGAAGATTAGGCAGCAACAAAGAAAATACTTGCACATGATATTTTAAAAGTAGGGTACATAATATAAATACTATGCTTAAAACCAAGTAAAATACTGAAAAGACAAAAATAAACACTAAGAAAAGCTGTTGTAGAATTATAGACAAATAATTCATCTCCACTGTCTATGTTTTAAGTTTGGTTCTATTTTCTAATGCAAACAGGCAAACATTACAGTAACCTTTTGGGGAATAATCTGGCAGAGTTATTGAGTTGTTGCTGAGTGACAATCAAAGATGAATTCAATCCAAACTTAAGGCTCTCACAGTTAATAAGGAAAGATCCAAGACGAATACAGACAGCCACAGTACAGTGAGATGCGGACCGGCGGACCACAGCATAGAAGGCATTTAGAGCACTGAATAAAAAGCTGATTTCCTGGTCAGAAAGGCCAAGAAAGTAGGTCCGAAGAGAGAGCAGCAGCTAGAAGAATGGCAATTCCTTTTGTTGGTAATCTAAGAAAAGGTAGGCAGAGTAGCGGGATTAACACGTGCAGGGGCTTGACACTGGGTGAAGACAAGTGTGAAACGTGGTGGACCTAAGAATCTCATAGAACCTGGTACATCCAGATTGCAAGGAATGACTGGGAAGAGCAAAGGAGATAAGGTAGATTAGGGCCAAGGGTGCCTGATACAAATTTGGGTTATAACTTGTCAAAGGAAAGCTTTCAAGAAGGACAAGATGAACCTAGCACTTTAGAAAGACAAATATTTTCTAAGCTAATAAAACTTTTTATATCTATATACAAAGTCCAGAACAAATTTATGGACCTATAAAGGTAGTAGAAAAAAAAGTCTACATATCTTTTTCTAAGTAAAGATTTTATAAGTGAGGCTCATGATTCTAATTGTTTTAGCCCATCTTCATCAAGATCTACACGTTAAAATAAAACAGTGGAGAAATAAAACTCATTGAAATGCCCATAAAACTTCCAATAGAAACACATAGGTTTTTCTCATTGGTTTTTTGTTGTTGTTTTTAAGTAAAGAGAAGGATGATTCCTGTCAAGAAAGTCTACAAATAAATTTTATTCTCACCATTGTGGCTAATACTAATATTTGGGGGGTCATAAACCCAAACCAGCTCTCAGTCTTGAAAAGAAAGATCTAGAGTGGTTGTGAAGGTCAAAGGGTTAGCTGCTAGGTCTGGTCCTCAGGTTTCAGTGCCCTATAAGAAACAGTAATACAACCAATGAACAAGCAAAATATGGGCCAAAGA